CGGAAAAAGTTCCGAGTCGTCTCGGCTCGGCTCGCTCGCGGCCTCCACGAGTCGCAGCTTTCGCCGCATGATCGCGCTTTGTACGACCTCTCGAGTAAGCTTTGGAGCTCCGAGTGCTGGTCCACTTCGCCGTTTGGTAACAAAGCCAAGAGCGACGAGGGTGATGATAATTTAATGGTGAATCAGAATCAGAGTGTTTTGGATGATCTTTTTGTGGAAAATGATTATGGCGATGAGGTGAAGATGATCAATTTATCTAGGCCCATTGCTGGGCTGGCGGCGAAGACTGTTTTGGACGTGTTCGATCAGTCTTTGAATGAGGTTCGGATGGTTCTTGTTCAACATTTTCTGCTCTGCCCCGACCATGTTGGTTCGGTGTCGGACTTGGGCTCTGGCTCTGGCTCATGTTCCTCCAATGAGGGTAAGACTGCACTGGACTTGGAGCGGCAATGGCAGCTCCAACGGCTTGCTGAATTGGATGTATTGTCTCAGAGATTGAGGTTGGTTCTCGACAACACGATTCGGGGCCAATGAGTTTATCTAAGTAATTTGTATAGGAAATTGACATATGTAATGGAATTGCTCTTTCGAATTTTGTACATTTCCCCTCATAATATACAAGGATTAGGTTGACTTAAGTAAAATTTTGTGTTTATATATGTTCTAGGTTAGAGGCTGATTTCCTCTCAACAGAGGCATTCTTCGGATTCGTAGGGTTGTGTTTAGTTCCTTTAGTGATGGTGTGCTTGACGTGTCGTTAGAGATGATGGGAGACTTGGCATAGTGCAAAGCTGCCATCTTAGTTTTTTTAGTAGAGTGGCTCAGGCACGGAACTAGGAAGGGAAAGTGTGTTTTCTGTAGTTGACGATAATTTTTCTCAGGCAGAAGGTATCTTGCCATGTGCTTTAAGACTTGTGACCTTAACCAAATAAGCAGATCCCTTGGTGCTGATATTACCCTTTTGAATAAGAGGGCACCGTTTCCTTGGCTACAATGCGAGTTCGTCTGAAGGAGGCTTTTCATCTAAAACGAACCTAGATCAGTTAATTTCCCTACACACATTGTGTGCTTAAGGTTCCGGATGGTTCTTATTTGAATACAAGAAGAAAATATTTGTTCTCTGACTCCATGGCTCATGTGTTCTAATTTGTGCATGAAACAAGATGGGACAATATCATTGCCACAAAATCACTTACAGAACTCCATCAGAAAAATTAGAGTAGGAAGTTTACGAAACCAAATTAGTTTCTATTCATACCATCAACTTTTTTTTCTTTCTCCTGCCCTAGTTTCTTGCATTCCAATTCAATGATGCATGCCTCTGAAAACATGGGTGAGCCATTGAGATTACTGTTATGCTTTTGAGCAGGACCAATTTTACTGTGCTTTTTTGTTGCGCCGATGCTATTGTTTGGGAGACCACAATAACAAAATGTTCAAATGATGAAGTGCAATTTGGGTGTGCAAAAAAATGGCATTGGCACAAATAATTATATCTTTTCAGTACAGATTCTCTATTGTTCCTATAATCAGACTCACTTTTTCTTCTTTACATGCGCGACATTTCTGCACAAATTTCACGATGAATATATAGTATAGATAAGTAGGTTACATTTACAAAGAGGGTTGAGAGAGAGAGAGAGAGATAAAATCAAAATGAAAGAATAAGAGGTGAATTGAGAGTATGAGAATCTTTTGAAATAGTAGGACATTGGAGTTTTAAAAAAAGGGGAAAATATGTGCGTCCAAAGAGGAGCTAGCAGAACAATCGACAACTTTTAGGACAAGAAAGAGCATCTCGGTGGGGTATATATGTGGGGAGTGAAGCTAGTTGGCGGATGGCGACCAAGCTTGGCTAAGCCAGTCAAAAAAGATACTATTATTATAGCAGAAGCAAATAGTCTGAGCCCGGGTTCGAACCGGGGACCTCTAGTGTGTGAGACTAGCGTGATAACCGACTACACCACCCAGACATTCTTGTTAGAGATTACTCATTAATTCAATTTATACGCGACTTTACGTTCTACTAACATAGCTTTTTATTTTTTATTTTTAATACTAGTCATAGTCTAAACTACAAGATTATAGAGTTTCTCACACTCAAACATTTAGTTCCAATGTTCAAATCTGTGATTACCGATTTGTAAGTCAAGGTCCTTTTATCACTGGACTAGATCCCGTTTACATAAGGTAACTTATTCAATCATAACATATAGAGGTACGTTCAAATTCCAAACACAAAACGAGAGTATTAATAAGCAGCAAACTGTGAAAAACGAAATAGAAATGACTACAGAACACATTTGATTCTCACTTGGGCCAGCATGGTCCCTTCCTTCTCTAGTGCTTTAACCTTTGCTACTTTTCTTTTCTTTTCTTTTTTCTTCTTTTTGCTACTTGTTTGACATGCACCAAGCTTGAAACTGCACATTTAACAAGTGTCCCCAAAATAGCTTCTGCTTCTGCTCCAAGCAGACACCACAAGCAGAAGACAAGATACCATCCAAACTTTGAAAAAGTTGTTTGCGACTGCCTGCCCAAAGTAGAAGACAACACTTATCCATAACATGCAATGCAAAGCTACCCCCTGCACCTTTCTTTCGTAATAATGTGATCAAGTTTGCACCCACCACCACTTCTTCGCCGTCCGATCGGGGAAAGCAAAAAGATTGATGATTTTGATCACACATTAGATTAGAGACAAAGTTTATGTGGGGCCCGCGTATTAATTTGTGATGCTCTGCTCACTGTGAAGAAGAAGAGGATGAGGAGGACGACGAAGGATGTTGTCATTGGGGATTTGGGACAGCGATTGGCGATTAGCGTAATTTGCCAACTCAAAAAGTTGGCCCTCTTTGCTGTGGGCGGAGGGCCCCACCTCAAAACCAACAATACATTTTGTACATATATATATAAAAACGATATCCTCGTTCGTTCATGTGGGATCCGGTTTTATTCCCCTTTTTGCCCCTGAGGTCTTACTGCAATTACAAAGCTGCCATGAATCAAAGGGTTGGTAAAGTTGCTACCTATTTACAACTTGGTGGTTTGCACATTGTTTTCCATTATTCCGCTTATTTTGAAAAAATTCATCAAATCATATCACAAAACAATAATGGTAGTAGGTATTGGTTGAGGTTATTGATGAGTCAACCAATATGTCCAACCTTGTTCAAATCACACATTATGATTTGGGGTGTGAAGTCAAACAATGCCCAATCTTCAAAAACTATACACTATGGTTGATGAGGGCTAAAAGTCAAAACAATATATCTAATCCCATACGCTATGGTTGAGTCGCATATGTGATGCGTGTGCAATGTAATAACGGTTGTAGAAAGAAAACGTGAAGATTGAAATGCTTGAAAGTATATCTTTCTAACCACACAAACTTATTATACAATACATTTTGTATACCTTTTATTATTTATCAAGACATTAATAGTTGGGTAGCCAATGCCATTTTAATTTAGAAAGTGAGAAGGACCACCTTGGATCAGCATGAAGGAAATAATAATAATAATAAAAAGAATATCAGAGAAAAGAAACTAAATAATGAAATTCATGTTGTTCTCAAGTCCAAATACTTAATGTCCATATAAGATTTATATATAAAACATTCTTGCAAGATAGCTAACAATAAAAACCCACAATTTCGAAAGCAAAAAATATCCAAATTGGATACAATTGGACACATCTAGAAATGAGAACGGAAAGCAACATTTTAGATAAAGAAGTTGTCGGATAAAAGGCTATTGGATAAATAAGTTACCTAAAAACCAAATCTATTGTAAAAAAAACACAATTCGATTAATTCGATTTTAATCTGTTTTGAACACTCTAAAATTAGCATCCAATCCAATTGAAATTGAATTAAATTGATTTGGTCAGTTTGATCGGTTTGGATTGGATTTTGCACTCATGTTGGGCTTAAAGGTGGCTGAACTTGTGCATTGCATTTTTATTTTTTTTTAGAAATATTTTTACTTACCACTTTAGTGTACCATTATCACTTTTCTCAATATTTGACACGTGTCTATGTGCCTAATCATAATTAACTTTTTACTTTGTATTTGTGGAACTATGATTATGCTCATAAATATGTGTCAAATTTAAGAAGGATGGTAATGATACACATTGAGTTAAAGAGATGAGCAAAAATATATATATTTTTCTGTTTGAATATTGCACTTGTATCAAATTGACACTTTAATTAGAGATATATATAAAATCTTTTTTGCGTTAAGACATTCAATAATTTTAGGAGATAAAGATCATTGATGCCATTGTAATCCTAAAACAACTCTTTTATCCGAAACGCATAATGGCATTTACGTTATATTGAGAGTGAAATAAGGCCAAACCCGTCAACACCATAAATAAAAATAAAACCCACGTGTCCTTTGACACCAAGTCCCTTTCGTTTCCTCCCTGTGTGATCTCGACAGTACTTCTTAACTCTCTCTCAGTCAAGAGTTTCGCAGCAGAGAGAGAGAGAGAGAGAGAGAGCGAAGCTAGAGAACGAGAGGGAGAGCAATTCCTGAAGCATGGACGAGAATTCAGCACTAATCGAATCAATTCTCAGAGAGCAAGAGGAGGAGGAGGCAGAAAGATATGGTAAGAAGGTGAACAATGAGCGGACCCAAAACGGCGACGCTTACGGCTGGCAAACGGTGTCGTATCAGAAGCGAAACCGAAAAGCCTCGTCCAAGGCACTTCCGGTGGACTCTAACGGTGATCTCCACATCGGAGCTTCCTCCGCCTCCGACGTGTTCCGGCCGATCGAGCTGCATTCCGAGGAGCGCCGTCGGAAAGCTCTGGAGGCTCAGGCGGCCGCCGCTGCCGGAGATTCCGCCACCGGCGGATCGAAGCGGAATTCCGATGACGACGATGAGGATAGCGATGCTGAGGTGTCTGGGACTGTGGAAAATGGCGAGGTGAAGAAGGTGAAGACTAAGAAGCCGAAGAAGCCGAAGGTGACTGTGGCTGAGGCGGCTTCGAAGATCGACGCAGATCATCTTGGCGCTTTTCTCGCTGATATTACTGTGAGATGCTGATTGCTTCTGTTGTTTTTTCTTTTGGTAAATTGGGGATTCAATTTTGTAAAATGTTGTTATGGAAAATGGAAATGTGGCTTCTTTTTTGTTTTTCTGTATTGTTTCTGATTTTATTTTGGGTGTTGGATAGGCTTCGTATGAAAAGCAACAAGACATACAGCTTATGCGTTTGGCGGATTATTTCGGTCGAGCATTTGCGTCGGTCAGTTCGGCTCAATTTCCATGGTTGAAGACGTTCAAGGAATCCACTGTGGCAAAGTTGGTTGATGTGAGTTTTTGCTTGTGTTTGGTTCATATATTCGATTTTGAATTTTTGTCTGAAAAAAAGAAAATGAAAAAAGGGCTTTAATAAAGCATCAAACTTTGGAGATATTGAAGAAAAGAAGGGCTTTTGATCGCATCCTGGTGTTTATCTGCTTATTCTGTGTATTGAATTTTACATGCATGTGGGTTTTGGATACAATGTGAGGGTAGCTTCACATTATCTGGTTCATACTCTCTGCTGATTTCCAAACCCCCATTTTCTTTCATATGGATATTATGGACGCTATGTTTGAGATTAGATGCATGTCATGTCTCATGATTGATGATTGTGACTACATGCATGTCATGTCTCTTGATGGATATGGTTACACCATTGGGTCTGTAGGCATATGATTTCACCTTTAATGGCTGATAATCAGTAAATTATATCTTCCTTTTTGTTTTGTTTATTTCTGGTTGGTGGAATTTATAAATATTTTTCACTGGGTCTCCTAATTTCTAATGACTATATTATTTGCCTAAGCAGATCCCTCTTTCTCATGTATCTGAAAATGTTTATAAGACATCAGTTGACTGGATCGGCCACTGCTCTACTGAAGCACTTGGATCCTTCGTGCTATGGTCATTGGACAGCATTCTTGCTGACCTTGCAAATCATCAAGGAGCAGCCAAGGGATCCAAAAAGGTGGCCCAGCAAGCACCTTCAAAGTCTCAGGTAACTTTGGATTGTAGCATGTATCAAATTCCCATTAAAGTGTCAGGTGTTGTTAAAACTTATTTGTGCCTGTTTTCTATGCCTTGGTGGTCTGTGGAAATATTTATAAGGTGGATAAACTAATTACTACTGTAAACAGTTTGAGCCATTGATTTTAGCATAGATGGACTCTAGTGGCACATCTTAGGAAAGACATACAATATTAAAGAAAAATGACCTTGGCCATCTTTCTTATTGAAAACTATAGGAGCAGATTTGCTCTAAACTTTTCAATCCATATTTTTGAGAGATACATACTACACCACCCTTCGTAGGATAGGACTTTACCAGAATATCATGTCAAGTGAATATTTTGTAGAAATTGCGTAATTGTATATATAGCAAAACATAGTGTGGTATTGTTAGTGCTATGTCTGCCGGCATGATTCAATTTTTTTAACCCCTTGTTTCTAGAATTGATTTTATTTGAATTTGCTATTAGTCTGTGTAATTATGACTATTCTTTGTTTTCTTCATTTTCATTCTTGTTTTCTTTTCAAGTAAGTTCCTTGTTCAGTGGCTGCATCCCAGAGGAGTCTTCTATGGGCTACAAGTATTAATGAACCTTCTTTAGTTATCATATAATCCCATTTCTATGGCTCATCCAACTTTGTGGCATATATCATCTGATGCCATGATTGGCTGTATGTTTGCCTAGTTTTGTCAATGCTTTGATTTGGAGCATCCATCGACGTTATCATGACAGTGTTTTATGATCCTCTGAGGTTTGTTTGATAGGGCTTCCAGACCTTTGTATGTGACTACATTTCCTCCCACTTTTATCTTCCTGTGCCCAGCGCCCTTGATAATTCATCATGTTCTACTAAATTTAGTTGAACTTGAAGATGGAACATTGTATACATTTGGTATAGTTCTATCTTTCCTCTATCATGTTTTGAAGGCTGACTCAACTTTCAATATGGAAAATTTGATATCTAATATTGGAAATAGTCATAGGAAGACAAGAGTCTTTTAAAATAGCACCAATGGGATTTCAGTTCATAACAACTGCCTACTGAATTATGTATGCAACAGTGAATAGTTTTTAAAGCTCCACACCTTTCCATAAGCTTCATTTTTTTTCCCTTACATTACATTGGTCAAAATTCTCACAGTTTAGATTATACATCCTCAAACAGAGTGAGTAATTAGATGTAACCTTGGAACTGCAGGTTGCCATATTCATGGTTTTAGCAATGGTGTTGCGGCGAAAACCTGATGTATTGATTAACTTACTTCCAGTGATGAAGGAAAGTCCAAAATATCAAGGCCAAGATAAGCTTCCAATCACAGTGTGGTTGATTGCACAGGTAATTGTTTTTACCTAATGTTCCTAAAACAGTGGTTTGTTCTTTTCTAAAATATGAATTTTAACTAGGAAAAACTATGTTTATACAGGCTTCTCAAGGAGATCTGGTTGTGGGGTTGTACACATGGGTTCATTTTCTCTTGCCTATATTGAGTAGCAAGTCAAGTAGTAATCCGCTGTCTAGAGACTTGATTTTGCAATCGGTGGAAAGGTTGGACACCATTTAGATTAACTTAAGCTCTATTCCTTGATCTTACGTATGTACACGTCTGGCTTCCTTGTCACAGAGAGAGAACTATCTTCTTTTTTTTTTTCTTCTGGTAGTAATTCCTTTTTTTTTTCTTCCTCCGGGTGAATTATCTCAGAATTTTGTCTTCTCCGAAAGCTCGTCCTATTCTATTAAATGGTGCTGTCAGAAAGGGGGAGCACATAGTGCCACCATCAGCCCTTGATCTGTTGATGAGAGCTTCTTTTCCTGCACCTTCTGCCCGAGTTAAGGTGTGCCTCTTTTAGGAGCATTTGCAGAATTGCAAAATTTTCCATTTAAACATGCTAATCAAGCATAACCCCCACCCCCCCTCTTACTCCCCTAAACCAAAAGATTAATGTCTGAAACATTTTGGCTTTGCTAAGGCAACTGAGAGGTTTGAAGCTGTTTATCCAACCTTGAAAGAGATTTCCCTTGCTGGTTCCCCGGGTAGCAAAACAATGAGGCAGGTCACACAGCAGATATTGAAATATTCAGTTAAAGCTGTTAAAGAAGGTAAAGCCAAGCACAAAGAAACTGATTTTCCTTTACAAGTATTTCCCCTTTCAAATTGTGTTTGGAAGTAAAAATAGTATGAATTTTGGCCTATTCTCTATTGGAGCTTGATGCATGGAGCATTTTGCAGGCATCCCTGATCTGTCTAAGGAAGCAAGTGACATTTTTATTTGGTGTTTGACACAAAACCCTGAATGTTACAGGCAATGGGTAAGCATTTGGATTATTGTTCTTTTACTTTTGCAAATGTTCATTAAAGGCATTGTACAAATTTTTTTTTTTCATCAACTTGTCACTTCACTGTGAATATTTGGAACAGGACATGTTTTATCTGGAGAATCTTGATGCAAGTGTTGTTGTGCTGAAAAAGCTATCTGACGAGTGGAAGGAGCACGCCAGTAAACATACTTCTCTTGACCCCTTGAGGGAAACCTTAAAGAGTTTCAGGGAAAAGGTAATCATATCCAGATATTGAAGTGATTAACTTTGTCTTGTGATTTCATTTATTAATCCTGCCTTGCATGCCTTCTTTAACTATCAACTCTACTATAATGAACTTGATTTCCGTTTTGGGTGTAGAATGATAAAGCATTGGCAGCAGGAGATGATTTTGCCCGCCATTCACTGTTGAAGGATGCAGACAAATATTGCAAGCTGATTTTGGGACGATTATCTCAAGGGCACGGATGCATGAAAAGCATGGTGCTTGTGTCTGTTGCCCTGGCTGTGGGCGCTGCTATCATGTCACAAAACGTACAACCTGAGGACCTCAAGAAACTTGCAGCCATGTTCAACTTTCCCCCAACTCTGTAAATGGAGTTACTCACCGGTATTTTATGGCATAGTGTTTAAATTATGCCTGGCATAGGTCAGCTAAAAAAGGGTGGCCCATAACAGTATAGGCAGAGGATGAGTTGAAGTTCAGCGTTTGACCGACTTGTAACAGGTTTCAAGTGGAAGTTAAGGTATAAGCAGCCGCGAAGCCCATGTCCGGGTTGCTATTTCACAGGGTGTTTGGCTTATCTAGTTTTCAGTGTCAATGTGTTGAGTGGGTTGTTTTCCTTTGCAAGGGACTAAGTTATAGTGGCTTGTGTTTTCGGGTTTTCTTGTTATATTTTCTCATAGTCTCTAATAAGTCTGTTAAAATGTGGACATGGAAAATGGTCATAAGGTGGAAATGAATGATGGAATAAGTGCTTGAAAGAAAAAGTGCATCTTTTTTTTTTAAAATTTTTAAATCATTGTATTTTAACTTTTGACCCTTACCAAATCACTTTCTGGGTGACAAAGAATCTTCTCTCGAGTTCCTAACGTTACGATTCCTTGTCTGTCCTGATTGATAATTTTGGTTTGGCAGGGTCGCATATAACGTGATGGTAAGGGTCACAAGAAATAAGTTTTGTTATTTTCATATTATTGGTGCTTAGTTTCGGCTGAATTTAAGCGGTTCCTTTCACGTTAACCAGGAACCATGTTAGCAGTTGAAGTTAGAAACCAGAATAACATATGTTTAAATTCTAGTACCAATACAAAATTAGGGTTCGAAAACTAATTACAGATTAGCTGCTGAAAAGGAACCCTACAACATGTCATTAAATTATGTTTAAACTATAGTGAAACGTTGATAGACCCAAGACAAAAAAAAAAACATACTTTGAATATTTATTTTATACAAGCGATATTCTACTTTAAATTAATAGATAACTATAAAGAAACCCATTTCTAGCTATAGAATCATAAAAATACCCTACATGAAATTGACTTCATAAACACACCCTATCTTACATTAAACAGACTTTATAAACACACCCTACTATTGCCAGTTGTTCTTTTTTCTAGTTTACTTAATATACAGATTTCCTGGTTTACCCTTCAGTGTGAAATTCATATAAAAAAACTCAAAACTGAATTATTACTCACTTGCTTTGCCCTTAAGGGCATGTTTACGTATCAGTAATGGAGAAAGTAAGGAATCAGAGAATTTAGGAATCGGGGAACTACTGAATCGGTATGGGAAGAATTATTCCCATTAAGCTGTTTACTAAACATACAGAATTAATAAAGGAATGGGGTTGATTCCCATTGTTATTGTTTACTAATTTTCTTGAATCAGAATCCAAATTCATTTGATTACTAAAATGCCCTGCACATTTTCACCACAATACATATATAATTCTCAAATTGGCTAAAGAGATCAAACTAATCATGCAACAAATTAGTAAGGCGGTGTAAACATGATTTGCACAAGTGAAGTAAGGGGAAGCAGCAGCATAGCCTTGGTGAAGTATGCAGCGTTGCTGCATGGTATCACCATCAGCAAAGGCGAGTTGGGAAATTTGCTCAAGGGCAACATTTGCATTTTCAAGGCCAAGAGAAGATAAGGCCAAGAATTCTAAGAAAATATTCTATTTCTCATGCAAGAACCATATTTGCATGAATACAAAATTTTCTGATTCTAAGGAAATATTCTACTTCTCATGCAAGAATCATATTTGCATGAATACAAAATTTCAGAAAAATGCTTACTCTCAAACAAAAAAATAAACTCCAATAAATATTTATCTTTCACCTAGGTAACTAGTAAACAATCAAATAATAATAACCTGCATAATCTTCACACGATTAAATACATAATCGTCATACTACCAAAAGAAGAGATATATAATCTCCACAAAAGTCATTCACCCATTACTCATCAATCACAATGACTGTAAGCCATGCTCCATAAGATTAAATACATAATCTTTTTTTTTCTTCATCAGTCATGGTAAAGAAGACCCTCAGCAAATCGTGCTCTTTGGCTAAAACGTTGGTGATACGAAATACTTGCAAAGGAGATAGGAATTCTATTTTCCTTAATTCACCACCAAGTTTAGCTTGCATATCAACAAGATCCTTCTCTGTTGAAAGAACATTAACCAAGCCTGCAAGCTGAGGTGCCATTCCTACTACAGCTTCAGCCATAAGTCCAAATTTGTTAGACATTTCATTCAAAGCACTTACCTTCCTACGAGGATTATTTGGACCACTTGCTACATCTTGCACGGGTCTTCTGTTGGGCACTTGAGGGTTGGAGATTTGGTTGTGTAAAGGTTTTTTTTTAAATTTTTGTATGAAATGGTATTAACAATGTACTTCTATGAAATGGTATTAACAATGTATTTCTATAAAATGATATTAACAATGTACTTCTATGCCATGGTATTAATAATGTACTTCTATGACATGGTATTAATAGTGTACTTCTATGAAATGGTATTAACAATGTACTTCTATGACATGGTATTAACAGTGTACGAAGGTTCGGTGCAGAAGGGTCGTAAGGACAGCTCCTTGATTTTCGTATATATTTTTTTTTAAGTTTGGGTTTTTAAAAAAAAAAAATTGGGCTAGGCTTGTTTTGGGTGATTTTTGAGTTTTTTTTTGTGTTGGGCATGTTTTAAGTTAATCAATGGTAGATATGTAATTTATAGGAACTTCAACACTCATTTCTTATGTATTAAATAGTTTTTGGGTATGTTTCTAAAGTGCATTCTATGTGGGGTTTTTTTTTATAATTTCAGCCTCTATTTTGGGTATATTACTAAAGCTCCCATAAAAAAAATACAAATTTTATTTTTTGTTTTTCTAATATACACATCTGTTTTTCACCAAATGTTTGAAACAATCGTTTTATCATTTTTTTTCTCAAGGTTACGTATTTTTGCTATAGATTAGTAGTTTTGGGAATGAAAGATTATCTATTGATATTTGAATCCTATAATATTTTGGTTGATGACTAATAGCCATAAGTCCCCTTGTTCAACGGAGTGCTTTCTACAGTTGAACCTGTCACAGGTGCACCATTTAAATGTTGGGGAGGCACGCACGCGACCTCTTCCTTTATTCCAAGTCAAGTCCTTTGCTCCATTCTTTTCCATTGTTCCTTTATTACAAGACAAGCGACCCCTTCCTTTATTCCAAGTCAAGTCCTTTGCTCCATTCTTCTCCATTGTTCCTTTATTACAAGTCAAGTCCCGGATGAGGCTGAGGACACCTTCCCCTGCATTGCATTTAACTGCTTGCCAATTTAGTCCAGCTGCTTGCTATCATGTGTCCCACTATTTAGCACATCATGCTTTGTTTTCTATGGCTTAACTATTGATTTGCCCCGTAAACTTGTATATAGTTTGCGATTTACCCCTATAAATTTTTTTTAGAAAATTAAAGATATAAACTTCTTTTTTTCCTCTAATTTCCCCCCGCTGTCCAAATATGCAACATTTCATCTAATTTACTGTTAAATATGAAAGCAAAATGGTCATTTTGTACGTTAAAAAATAAATAAAAACTGAAAAATTAAATTAAATTATTTTTAAAATTTGAAATAGTATTCTCTCTATCTCTCTCTCTCTCTCTCTCTCTCTCTCTCTCTCTCTTTGCAGGTGGGTTGCAAGCTGGATTCTGTGGGTGGGTGGGCAGAGGCGGACCTATTAAGGCGCAAGGAGGTGCAGACCTCCCCTTGCCGAAAAAACCATTGTAGGTGCTTGAAATTGCCCCTTTGCTCAACTGGTGCACAGATTACCTTATTTTCATTCTCAACATTTAAGTAAATGTCTTTGTCCTTTTACTTTTATTTATTTTTATATTACTCCATTTACTTAAGTTTACAATGTAAATAAGGAAGTACCCCCATTTGGATTCAAATAAAAATACTAGAAAATCAAATTCCCACCAAATCAAAATATGAAAATTCGGTTTTAGTGCAAAATACGATTTATGCTAAAAATGATGGCTCATTAAGTCAATATATACTTCATACTAAAATTCCATAAAATCAAGTTTTTTTATTTGATGTGTAAGGAACAAAAGCCGCCAAAAATTATCTTGAGAAATTGATTATTCCGAAAAACCATTTTTCATACTTAGTCAATATTGCACCTCTGCTAAAAAAAATTTGGGTCCGCCAATGGGGGTGGGAGCAGAGATTTGTTGACGCCGACTGGGGGGGAGGGAATGGATGGGTCCGAGTCTAGGGGTGGATCTAAGGGGGCAACGGCTAGGGATGGGATGGGTTTGCGTTTGGGGGCGAGGGCAAGGGCTGGGGTATGGGTCTCAGCTGGGGCTCGGGTGGATTTCACGGTAGGGATGGGGTGGTTGTATGGTGGATTTCATGGGTGGTTGTATGTAGAGAGAAAAACAGAGGGTGAGAGGGAGGAAGTGAGTCGGGGAAGGCGGGATTGGGGTTGGGTCGAGGAAATGTTTGGTTCAGTGGGGTTGGCCATAGGTTTGGTTCAGTGGGTAGCATGATTTTTTTTCTTCCTCTTTTTCTCTTTTTGTGTGTGTCAATTTTCCTCTTTTTCTTCAAATTTTTCCAAAATTTATTTTTAATGATTTAACATAAAATTGGATGAAATATTGAGGATTTAGATGGCATGGGAGGAATTGGAGAAAAAAAGATGTTCGTGTCCTTAATTTTCTTTAAAAAAGTATAAGGAGTAAAATGAAAATTTGGTACAGATTCAGAGTAAATCAACAATTAAGCCATTTTCTATTGATATATGATGGTAGTTGAGTTGACGAGCCCGCTACATCCGTCAAGAATTCCACATTTGCAGGGTTTGGGATGGAAGGAAGGAATAGTTTGAACAAGAGAAATAATAAGATATTTCTATAATTAAAAATCAAGAAAAAAAAATTCAAAAGTGAAGGACTCTGATTATACGAAGGAGACTGGATTGACCATCCATATCTGATTGACGGAATATATAGAGACATATATGTATAGCAAGCTGTTGTACATTTGTGAAGACAGATGCGTGTGGAAACAGATGCCAAATTGTCCATTCTTCCTATATTACGAGATTACAAGTCTAACTCGTTGCATACGCGAAACGCCATGCTGTCACGGATTTGGAGTGGTGGGGATGAGGCCAAAGGATGCCATGGACCAGTTACATTTGGCTACTCGCAAATTTCTTCCCCCCATGGTGCAATCATGTGTCCCACTCTTTGGCAACTTCATAGATTGGCACTGCAACAAACCGTCCTCTCCTCTTGTTCAGCGCTTCAATTAATGGATCTCAATTCAGACAATGTAGAGGAAGCCATGCCGTTTTGGTTATACTTGAGCCTGAATAACTGAATATTTTGATTACCAAAAACAAAGAATAACTGAGTATTTCTGAAAAAGACATGAAGAAATAAAAACTCAAAAGCTAAGAGATAAGAGGGATTATTGATGGCCATGGTGGTGGAGGTGGCCGCCATTTTTTCCTTGACTTAAATATTTAATGCTAAAAACTTCATTTGCTAAAGTTAAGCTAGGAACTGTTTTTATGCTTGTAGGGAGCTTCTCCAATAATAATTTTGAAGTTAAAGGTTGATTAAGAACTTTCCAGCCTTGTTTACACCTTGCGGCAAGTTAACAGGAAAGCAAACGTTCCTTTCCTACGTTTTAAATAGTGCACAGAATAATATTTGCAAGTATTAGTTATTGTAAAAAACTAGCTAACTTCATATAGTTTTCAGAAATTGAGAATGAAGAACCAAAATTTGCCCCAAATATGCCAAATGAGATGATGGGCATCAATAGTTAGATGCAAGAATAATATTTAAACTTTTTAATGATTAAATGGTTGGATTAAACCCCTCATTCAACCCCCTCACCCATATCCCCCTCATTATACCACAATTCAAGTCAAGTCAGGCATGTCCCGGTCCCAAATGAGGCTAAGGATGCCTTGCACGAAACTGCAATTAATTGCTTGCAAATTTAGTCCACGAGCTTGCTATCATGAGCCCTGTTTACACCCTAAATAAACAGCCAATAAGGGCAAGACACGTGGAGAAAACTGGGCTTGGTCAGAGGCGCCCTCGGCACTCTACCTACCGATCTCTCCATTAGGGCAACACCCTCTCCTGGGACACGTGGCACGCTCCCAAGCGACGCCCACAGTCCCACATCGAAATATTCAACAAAATGCACACCTCCCAAGACCTATAAAAGGAGGCCAACTATACCAAAATAGAGGTAATCAGAACTTACGGCATACAAGCCTATTGATCTGTCAGTTGAACTTTCTATTCCCGAACTTACTTAAGCATCGGTGAGCCTTCGGCCGGTACCACACCGGTGCCTTAGGTCTTACCGAGCATACTCTCTTTTGCAGATTGCGCAGGCTACCGAGGCATCAAGGATACCGAAGGCATAAAATTACTAAGTTGACCCTCTAAGTCAAAGAACCACTTTTTGGCGTCAACAAGCCCCACTCTTTGGCACAATATTCTTTGTTTTGTATTGATGCATATATAAATCCTAGTTAGCATTTTCCCCATTATATATTATACACATACGTAAGTACATCAATTTTTCCATATAATACTTGTATTATATACATACATACGTACATATATAATGGTAGTTGAGGTACACCAATAATTCCATATTTATTGGGTATATGAATTTAAAGCAACGGATTATGAACTTACCATAACCTGATGCAATGAATTTAAGTCCCGTTGTACCTGAATAATTATATATTCCTATTAAAAAAAATGAAGAAAAAAATATCAGAGTGAAGGGCACTTATTATGCGAAGGAGACTGGATTGCCCATCCATATCTGATAGTAAGTTCTTGTACAGTATACATAGAGACATATAGAGACATATACGTACAGTATTGCAAGTTCTTGTACATTTGTGAAAATAGATGCCCAATTGTCCATTCTTCCTTTCTTACAAGTCTAAGTCGTTGCATTTGACTACTTGCGAATTTCTTCCACAAGGGTGCAATCATGTGCCCTACTCTTTGGCAACTTGTTTTGTCTTCATAGATTGGCACTGCAACAAATTATTCAATCATTTGAAGTTTTCAATCGGAAAGGAAAAAAAAAGGAAAAACACTTTGAAGTTGGAAGGAACTTCTCTGTTTTCGGTGCTCATGGAGGAGAGAAGTCATTTCCTCTTGTCAATCACGTTCTTGCTTGTGCTGCAGTACACTTCTCTATATATGGCTAAATTAACTCAAGGCACAGTAGGTGCAGCACAAATAAACATCACCACAGACCAGTCTGCTCTTCTTGCTCTCAAATCCCATATCACTAGTGACCCTCACAACATCTTGGTCAACTGGTCAACCACCACCTCCGTCTGCAACTGGGTTGGCATTACTTGTGGTGCTCGCCACCTCAGAGTAGCATCATTGAATCTCTCGTACATGGGTTTCACTGGCACAATTCCACCACACTTAGGCAACCTCTCATTCCTTGTTGCACTAAGCTTCAACAATAACAGCTTCCATGGTACTTTGCCCTATGAATTGTCTTATTTGCATCGCCTGAAGTTGGTTAGCTTCGGATACAACAACTTTGTGGGATCCATTCCATCATGGTTTGGGGCCTTCCCCAAACTTCAAGGCTTCTATTTGTATGGCAATCAATTTTCAGGTTCCATACCCACGACTATCTTCAACTTATCTACATTGCGAGTGATTGTTTTGAGCGGTAATCAACTATCAGGTACGTATATGTCAACGTTACATTTTAACCTTTTGTTATTAATCTATAAGCTCGGTTTGTTCTTTTTTGTTTAGAAAATTAGACTCATTTCTTCTTACTTTCAGGTCATGCAATACTAAAAAAATTCTCACTTGAATAGAATATGTATTTGATTTTTAAGTTTGGTTGATTCATGTTTGTTTTTTGTTATACTCGAAAGTTTTTACAAAACATACATTTATGAAATTAGAGACTACCTGTAGACTACAAATGATAAAAACTTGTTGGGCACTAGGGATAATGAATGATATAGGGGAATATTTAAGGGCTTTTCACGTATAGGCCCATTATAACATGACATTTTCTCACAAAAAAAATTAATAACATGACATTTTATAATTTTTTTTAAAACACCCTTAAAAATCCAATACTAAAGAAAAACTCCATATTGTACCTTCAAGTGAAAAAATTGTAATATATACTAAGAAAAAATTAGAAAGTGACAAGTGGCTAGTTGAGAGAGTTTTTTTTCTATAAATTATGTAGTTGTAATGATGTTTTTTTTTTTTTTTTTTTTTTTTTTTTTAAATGTATTTTGAGTTTTTGTTTGGCATACATAACAGGTGGCATACCAAGAGAAATTGGGAACTTAACAATGCTGAATGAGATATACCTTGACCACAACAATTTCAACGGTAAATTTGTGGCATTGCCCTGCCTTGATGCAATCTAGTTATATATAATATGACTTGGTTTTTGTTGCAGTGCATTATATGTGCATAAATCATGAGTTTAACATATATATATGTGCATATATCTTAACAATTTTTCAGAAATTCCACAAGAGATCGGCTTTTTACATCAGCTAGAGAAGTTGTATATTGAGTTTAATGCCCTAAAAGGCCATGTTCCTATGGTTGTTTTCAACATGTCTTCTTTGACTACGTTGACTCTATACGGAAATAGCTTGAGTGGCGGTCTTCCAGACAATATATGCCAGCATCATCCGAGTCTTGAGAAGGTTAATTTGGGTGACAATCAGTTTGCTGGTCCACTTCCATCCAAATTATGGCAATGCACAAAGCTTCTTAATCTATCATTGGTGGAGAACAATTTCAGTGGAAGCATACCCAAAACTATTGGGAATTTAACAATGCTGAAGGGGATATACCTTGACTCCAACAATTTCAACGGTATATTTGTTGCATTGCCTTGCCTTGATGTGATCCAGTTATATATAATATGACTCGTTTTTTGTTGCAGTGCATTATATGTGCATAAATCATGAGTTTAACATATATATATGTGCATATATCTTAACAATTTTTCAGAAATTCCACAAGAGATCGGCTTTTTACATCAGCTAGAGAAGTTGTATATTGAGTTTAATGCCCTAAAAGGCCATGTTCCTATGGTTGTTTTCAACATGTCTTCTTTGACTACGTTGACTCTATACGGAAATAGCTTGAGTGGCGGTCTTCCAGACAATATATGCCAGCATCATCCGAGTCTTGAGAAGGTTAATTTGGGTGACAATCAGTTTGCTGGTCCACTTCCATCCAAATTATGGCAATGCACAAAGCTTCTTAATCTATCATTGGTGGAGAACAATTTTAGTGGAAGCATACCCAAAACTATTGGGAATTTAACAATGCTGAAGGGGATATACCTTGACTCCAACAATTTCAACGGTATATTTGTTGCATTGCCTTGCCTTGATGTGATCCAGTTATATATAATATGACTCGTTTTTTGTTGCAGTGCATTATATGTGCATAAATCATGAGTTTAACATATAAATGTGCATATATCTTAATGATTTTTCAGAAATTCCAAAAGAGATCGGCTTTTTACATCAGCTGGAGAAATTGTATGTGCAGCTTAATGCCCTAAAAGGCCCTGTTCCTGTGGTTGTTTTCAACATGTCTTCTTTGACTGTGTTGACTCTATATGACAACAGCTTGAGTGGTGGTCTTCCAGACAATATATGCCAACATCTTCCTAATCTTCAAATGGTTTCTTTGTCTAGAAACAAGTTTGATGGTCCACTTCCATCCAAATTATGGCAATGCACAAAGCTTCAGATGTTTAATTTGGCAATAAACAGTTTCAGTGGAAGCATTCCAAAAAATATTGGGAACTTAACCCAGTTAACCATGATTTCGCTTGACACCAACAATTTCACAGGTAATTGTTTCATTAATTATGTTGTTCCAACTATGTTGCATAATTTATCATTATTTAACTATTTCATATTTTAATAAATGAGGGAGATAGTTAATCACGAATATAACAGATTGACTTGCCTAATAAACGTTCTATCTAAGTCAATATGTTCACATCTAAGGTTAACCAAAGAATTGTATAAAGACATGCAAACTCCAACGTGTTTTGTTTCAGGACTTTTATTTTATTTTTAGAGATTTCTGTTTAAAAATTGTTTTATTAATTAATAGAGATATTTAGTCATATACCCATTTTTAGCACTAATAATATAGATAAACCCTACACCATTAAATTTTTATAAAGAAACCCAAAAAATGACAGCTGGCCCTATTGAATTTAATTTTGATTATTATGAGTGTGACATTTTATACTAAAAGTCATGAAGGAGTAGATAGGGTTAGATTAGATTACACAAATCCACATATAGTGAAATTGTTGTAGATAAGGTTGTGACATTTGTGGCACTGGCAGGCACTATTCCATGGTCCTCAATATTCAATATCTCCACCATAAGAGTACTGTCGCTTAGTCGGAATCAGCTATCGGGTAGCCTCCCAGCGAACATAGGTCTTGGACTTCCAAACCTACAAATCCTCTATCTTACAGAAGCTGGCCTCAGCGGAGTAATCCCTGACTTCTCCAATGCTTCTATGCTCACGAAGCTTGAATTGGGCAAAAGCTCATTTACAGGGTTTATTCCTAGCACGCTATGTGCCTTAACAAACCTTCAGTCGCTTAAGTTACACAATAATAGTTTGATGATTGATACTTCGACTCCAGAAGCAAACACTCTCTCTTGTTTGGCTAATCTTGGAAATTTGCGATTATTATCCTTGACAGCTAATCCGTTAAATGCCAGACTTGATGATTCCTTTCGGAATTGCTCTACATCGTCGCTTCAATATCTTTATTTATTCAATTGCAGCATGAGGGGTAACATTCCCATTGGTATTGGCAACTTGAGCAGCTTGATAGAATTAAATCTGGGATACAATCAATTGAGTGGATCAATTCCAACTTCACTGGGAAGACTAGGGAATCTCCAAGCTTTGTTCTTGAATGATAACAAGTTGCGAGGGTACATCCCATATCAACTATGTCAATTAGATAACCTAGCTTACTTATATTTGAGTAGTAATCAGCTCTATGGTTCTATACCTTCTTGCTTGGGAAATCTAACCGCATCTCTAAGATATCTATCATTGGGATCCAATTCGTTGAGTTCCACAATACCATCTAACTTTTGGAGACTTGCCTATATCTTGTCTGTAGAATTATCATCCAATTATCTAATTGGACATCTCTCACAAGATATTGGAAACTTGAAAGTTGTGACACAGGTAGATATATCAAATAACAATTTATCTGGTATCCTACCAAGCACTTTTGGGGGTCTTCGGGATTTGGGTAATCTATCCTTGGCAAATAATAATTTGGAAGGCCCTATTCCAAGTTCATTTGACGGGTTGCTAAACCTACAATTCTTGGATTTGTCCAGAAACAATCTGTCTGGAGTGATTCCCAAGTCTTTAGAGGCTCTGTCACTTCTCAAGTATATGGATTTGTCTTTCAACAGGCTCCAGGGAGAAATTCCAACTGGTGGACCGTTCCAAAACTTCTCCGCTCAATCATTTGTCTCAAACAAAGCACTCTGTGGTGCAGCCCGACTTCATGTTCCACCATGCAAAAATGGTACAGTTGAACCAAATTGGAGGAAAGCTAAATATATCATCCCAGGGATCATATCAGTAATTCTCTTTGTGGCCTCTGTATCTATCTTTGTACTACGCAGGAAAAGGAATGTGGAAGTTGCAGGAGAGGCTACCTCGTTGCCTCAACTTCTTTGGAGAAGAGTTTCACATCTAGAACTTCTAAGGGGCACAAATGGATTTAATGAAAACAACCTACTTGGAAGTGGGGGTTTTGGTTCAGTATATAAAGGGACACTTTCAGATGGAATAGATGTTGCAGTAAAGGTTTTTAGTTTACAGCTAGAAGGGGCTTTCAAGAGTTTTGATAAGGAATGTGAAATGCTAAGCAATATTCGTCATCGAAACCTTATCAAAATCATCAGTTGTTGCAGTGAAATTGATTTCAAAGCCTTGGTACTCAAATACATGCCTAATGGGAGCCTCGAGAAGTGGTTGTACTCTCAAAATTCTTTGAATATCTTACAGAGGTTGAACATAATGATAGATGCTGCATCTGCACTGGAATACCTACACCATGGTTATTCAATACCTATTGTGCACTGTGATATGAAGCCAAGCAATATACTACTGGATGATGATATGGTTGCATATGTTGCTGATTTTGGAATTGCAAAACTCTTAGGTGGAGGAGATTCTATTACCCAAACCATGACTCTAGCCACTGTTGGGTATATGGCTCCAGGTGATGTACTTGCTAATTTAATATCTTTCAATTCTATACATGTTGTCCTTAATTATGCATAATTTTCATTTAATATATATTCATACACATGAATATATAAGTATAATTCATAATGTAGAGTACGGATTGGAAGGAATGGTTTCAACAAGAGGGGATGTGTACAGTTTCGGAATTGTAGTGATGGAAACATTCACTGGAAGGAAGCCAACAGATGAGATGTTTGATGGGGAAATGAATATAAAGCAATGGATTGCAAACTCACTAGTATTACCATATGCAAAGATAGATGAAGTTGTGGATGCCAATTTGCTTGGGATTGTGACACAGCAGGAAGACGATGATCATGTGAGGAAGAGGGATTGCATATCAGCCATTATGAGATTAGCTCTTACTTGCTGTGCGGAATCACCAGAAGAGAGGATAAGTATGAAAGAAGCTGTAGCCACACTCAACAAAATCAAGACAAAGTTTTTGAAGGATGCTGACCGTCCTCTTGTTCAGCAGCGCTTCAATTAATGGGTACTATCCTATGACATATATTTCATGCACATTGATTTGATTCAATTTCAGTATTTTATTTAGACAATGTAGAGGAAGGCATACTGTTTTATTTCGGACTGATTTTATGGTGGAGTGTGAAGACTTATTGTATAATATACTAGTCTTGGTAGTTGTTATGGTATCAGTATTATAGGAGGGTTTGTTCTGTTGTGTTGTGGCTGCAACCACGACCTCTTGGGAGCTCCACCGCTGCTTTCGCCATGCCAAGAGGCAAAAAAAGGGCTGATTACGGCAGCCAGGCCTCCCACCCTAGAGTTGTTGTGTGTAAACAAACCAGTTGGGTTTGGGCCCTTTTGGGAGCTATTAGACTAAGAGCTCAAATCATACACACATGACGGGCCTAAGCCCAACAAAGCAAAATACTTAATTGAATTTGCGTAGACAAACCAACCATCTGCTCTCAGGAGTCGCCAAAGATTTTCATAGAATTATGAATAAAGAAAGAAAAAATTGGTTGGAGAGGGTTTGTTAGCTTAAATTATGTTTAGAATATTCCCAAATGTTGTGGGGTTTTTTTCATAGTTCCAATCCAAATGCGTTGTCATTCCATGGAGGGTTTGGTTTGGAATTTTGTGGATTAGGTGATGCCTTGTGTGCATATGTTAAACTAAACCTCCAAATTGATTCAAATTTAATGTATTTTATTCACACAAATTAGAAAACACCCAGCTAAACTGAGCCAAAGATCATGTGGCCAGGGCAGGTAAATTTGACCACGTGGACTCAAATCCATTGGAATTTATTTGATGCAGAATTGCAGACTGCAGAGCAATAACTAAGCTTGATTAATTGCACTCTACTCCAAAAAAAGAAAAGTATAATTCCAAGGGTCCCACCAAGCATGACACATTATATATTAATTTATCTATTCATTTTCCATCTAAGCTATTTAAATGAATTTAAAATGCAATGACAGTATCACCAGATGCAATGATAGTTGAAGTTGTGGATGCCAATTTACTTGAGACGCAGTAGGAACATCATGATTTTGAGGCCAAAAGGGATTGCTTATGATCCATTATGAGATTAGCTCTTGCTTGCTGTGCAGAATTACCAGAAGAGAGGATAAGTATGAAAGAAGGACACTGCTACAGGGGGAGGTGTGTTGCTAAATCGTTCTCGTGTTCAGCGGCGCTTTAATTAATGAGTCTTTGATTTGATTCAATTTCAGTGTTTAATTCAGACAATGTAGAGGAAGCCATGCCGTTTCGTTTTGATTTTTGACTATTTATGGTGGAGTGCATTTATATTATATATAGATGGAACAAGTCATCAAAAGGAAATTCAAAGCTTCTTACTTACTTGATATGGTATCAGAGGAGGGTATGTTCTGTTGTGTTTTTGCTGCAACCACTGCCTCTTGGTTGGGTGCTCCTCCGCTGGTTTCCCCATGACAAGAGGCAAGAAACGACTGATCACTTCCCCACACCCAGGCCTCCCTCCCTTTTTTTGTGGGCTCTCTCTTTGGGTTTGGGCCCTTCTGGGGGCTATTAGGTTAAAAGCGATCAAATCATTAATGGGGGCATTGGGCTTTCTATATAGCTGAGCCTGATTTACTGTTTTTTTGTTTTTTTTAGGATAACTGATTTACTGAATATTTTGATTACCAAAACCAAAGAATAACCAAATATTTCTGAAAAAAAGACTTGAATATTTAATGCTAAAAACTTCATTTGCTAAAGTTAAGCTAGGAACTGTTATCATGCTTGTAGGGAGCTTCTTTAATAATAATTTTGAAGTTAAAGGTTGATTAAGAACTTTAGATAACTATAAAGAAACCCATTTCTAGCTATAGAATCATAAAAATACCCTACATGAAATTGACTTCATAAACACACCCTATCTTACATTAAACAGACTTTATAAACACACCCTACTATTGCCAGCTGTTCTTTTTTCTAGTTTACTTAATATACAGATTTCCTGGTTTACCCTTCAGTGTGAAATTCATATAAAAAAATTCAAAATTGAATTATTACTCACCTGCTTTACCCTTTAGTGTGTTTAAGACCCTGGACCTTGGTGTCCGGGTTCAAATCTCTAGGCGCCCAAACCAGAAGGAGAACGACGACCATTGGGAGATGATGGAGGAGGTTCAGCGGAGCTTGCTTTTCGTGTCGAAGCCCAAGGCGTGTACGGAGCACGAAGAGATGGAGCAGGACAGCGGGGGATCGTCGAAGGAGATGGAGTCGCCGAGGTCGATTGGGCGATGGAGGCGGAGGGCGAAGAGGGAGGGGTCCGTGCGTAGCCAGATCTTGAGAATTAGGGAGGAGGACGCGCATCTCGGTGAGAGTACTAGTTTAGGGTGAGAGTACTAATTCAGAGCCATTCAATTCATGGTCCTAAACACCAACAACTGAAGAAGCTCTCAGAAGAGAGAAGAAGACGAAAATGGAAAGGTTTGTGTTCATTTTTCATTTATTTATCTTTCTTTGTCTTTTAGGTTATTCTTTTGTATTATGTTATTAAAAAGTAAAAATTAAAATGATTCCGAAATGGATTTTCTTGTTTCTCTTGGGAATCTTGAAGTGTAGCCAAAGGTGAAGGTCAAGCAACAAAAAGACGAAGATGATCGTCATGCCTTAATTGATTTTTGTTTTCCAGGTTTTCCTTCAATCCTGTATTTCAATTATGCAGCAAATCTTGATATGAAACTTTAATCTATTTCAGTCTTGGTTTATTGTTATTCATGGAGTATTGGACTTTTGAAGCTGCCTGTTTTGCCAATTGACACATACTGGACATTTGAAGTTTAATCTATTTCAGGCCTGATAATTGACACTTTTAATTTTTGTAGGTGAAGGTTTTTGAAGGATGAGATCTCTCTTTGTACCATTTGCCAGTTATCCTTACCATTTGCTAGTTATCCTTCTCATAAGATTTCTCTCTGTAGTTGTGTAAGTTTGGATGTTGTTTCATTGGATTGTAATCAGAGCTTGTGGAGAATTTAGTACTCACGACATCTTCTATGACATAGTATTAACAGTGTACGTAGAGGTATTCCCTTTTGCCTTTGCAATTGTATGTGGTGAAACTATGGATAATTGGAGGTGGTTTTTGCAAAAGATATCGGATGTCTTGCTGGGTTTTTTTTAAAATTTTTGTATGAAATGATATTAACAATGTACTTATATGAAATGGTATTAACAATGTACTTCTATGCCATGGTATTAATAGTGTACTTCTATGACATGGTATTAATAGTGTACTTCTATGAAATGGTATTAACAATGTACTTCTATGACATAGTATTAACAGTGTACGAAGGTTCGGTGGAGAAGGGTCGTAAGGACAGCTCCTTGATTTTCTTTTTTTTTTTTTAAGTTTGGGTTTTTAAAAAAAAAATTGGGCTGGGCTTGTTTTGGGTGTTTTTTGAGTTTTTTGTGTTAGGCTTGTTTTAAGTTAATCAATGGTAGATATGTAATTTATAGGAACTTCAACACTCATTTTTTATGTATTAAATAGTTTTTGGGTATGTTTCTAAAGTACATTCTATGTGGGGTTTTTTTTATAATTTCAGCCCCTATTTTGGGTATATTACTAAAGCTCCCTTAAATTAATTTAAACTACGGCAAGAGGAATTCAAACTCTATGCAGAGTGGTGGTGAGTATATCCGCTCTAGCTAACTTGGCTAAGCCCATATATGCAGTTATGCCTTTATTCATTATTGATTATCTTTGATTTCGCCTTTGTTCTTGATCTTGATATCTTCTTTAATATACTTGATTAATTCTTCTTTCATATCATCGCTTAAATGCAAGTTGTAATTAACATTTGCTTAATACTAATGTCATATATCTGCAAGGAACTTATTAAAAAAAAAAGAAAAAAAAAAGCAGCGAATTGGATACCTCTTCTTGTGGTGCATCACCCACGATTACAAAATGATGATGCGAACCACTTTTCTCCTTCCTTTTTTTAATATTATTTATATTTATTTTGATACTCATGTCGAGTCTTTCTTTAAATAATCAACTCATAATTATGCTTACTAATGTTGCCATGTTGGGTGACGTCTCAAAGAGGACCTCTTGGCACTAAAATAACAAAATGTACCAACTATTTTAGTCGGTGGCTTGAATTAGATCAGAGCAAGTAATCAAAAACCATTTATGCATGTTCTCTCACATGCAACATGCAAACCGTACTGCCAAAAGGACCACCTCACATGAGATGAACCAGATCTCATCTATATGTCTAACAAAACTAAGAACAAAATATCCATGTGCCGATTATATATATATATATAATGGAGATACATAACCTAGTTTTCATTATTGTTTTCATTTTTATATTAATTTCTTGAGTGTCTATATATTTCTTTGATTCGAAAAGAAAAAAAAAACTTGGTTACTTCAAACAATCTATATATTGAAAACGAATACGATCGATAATCAGAGTGCATTATAATCAGAAACGAAAACATATTCTTTACAGAAAGATGCGTTGCTTGATAACATTCACGGGGTATTACTATGAAGGAAATCCGGAGTGGCTATTTCAGTTGATTTGAAAAGACAAAAAAAAAAAAATTACAAAATGAAGATTTGGATTTATTAGGAAAAAAGTGAAAAAGTTGACACAAAAAAAAAAGCAAAATCCAAAAATAAACCATAGACACGGCGCCTTCAACGCCCACATGAAAAGCCCACATGGACTTTTTGGTGCGCAGTCGCCCATTTCACGCCTTAAACCACGCAATCCTCTTCTTCTTCCATTCTATTCCTTCTCATAATCATTTTGGATTGGCCATGCCTACATTTATATTCCTATAAATAACCCCACTAATCCTCATTCCTTGAAACCATAAAAATCTAATCCATCTCTCCTTCTTGTGCTTTGTGTTTACAGTACCAGTTAGTGCTCACTCAGAGAAATGGCAGGACGTCCGTACACCTCCCTTTTGCTGCTTGTTTCTCTGCTTCTTCTACTCACATTCTCTGATGTAGCTGAGGTACGTTCATATCATACACCATCATCTATTTATACATTGTCCAAGTTTTTGATCTCTTGGGTACCTTGATATCGACCCTAAAAATCCAAAGTCGGTCGCTAACTGTAACCGTTGGATCAAATTCAACGGTTCACATTCAAAAAAGTAACGTAAACGGTTTGAATTTTGGTCATAAAAAAGTTTAATCTAAATTTGTTTTTGTTTTTGTAATTCATGAACAGGGTTACAACAAGCTTCGTCCTTCAGGTACATAAAATGAACTTATTTAACTAAAATTTCATGAAAAATCCATTATCATTATGATAAAGCATGAAACATCTAAAATCTTGAAAATTGATTGTTAATTTTGCAGAGTGCAAACCGAGATGTACTTATCGTTGCTCGGCCACATCGCACAAGAAGCCATGCATGTTCTTCTGCCAAAAATGCTGCGCCACATGCCTATGTGTTCCTCCAGGCGTTTATGGCAACAAACAAGTTTGCCCTTGCTACAACAACTGGAAGACCCAAGAAGGACGACCCAAATGCCCTTGAAAAAAAATATATATTTGAAAATCTTCCATCATTTTCAAATTATATTAATTAGTATTAAGAAGCCTGCCATTGATTGATTCTATATTTATGTGACAATGGTGCATGGCAGCAAGCAATTATTTATTTAATACATTAGGACGATCCTAATGTCTATATATCTTAGGCTCTAGTAACCTAATGATCTTGAGCCCACAATACTTTTAGTTGTGTTGGCTTTGTTTTATTTTCTGTTGATTCAATTTTGTAACTTCGCTATGAAAATTATGAAAGAAATTGGTCACAAATCTGTGAAATTATATGAAATCATGGAGACATTACATGAGATCCTCAACCAAAGAACGTTGAATGATATCAGGAGGAGTCTCATACTACGAAGATGCATGCATCACTTAAGTTAAAGCATAACGAGATAATCTATGAGTCACTAAATTGAGTTCTCTAGGAACATTCAAGTCGGATAACAGCACTCTTCCATCCTCATTTTTGCGTTCTAATCTACACACAAAAGTATAATGGATTTATCACTTTTTGCTCACATAGATCTCAAGATTTATAAATTTCTGGTAGACTAGACTTGTATAATCGTTAGGCTTGGGTGGGGTCATCCTAAGTTGTAATCTAATGGCTATTAAGGCATCTTAAGTGAAAGCACAATGACTGGCTGTGATGTGCGTGGCAGCCTGTCATTGCAAAAGATTATAAAATCCGAAAGAACCCAAAACTGTTGTAGACTGTAAAATTTGATGCTAACACGTCATCGTTTGGCCTTATTGATTTGCAAAATTTAAAATGATAAAAGGACTAGAATGAAAAATAAGCCAAAACACGTTTTGGTTTGGCCTTATTGATTTGATGGTTTGGTTTGAATGATGCTGTTTTTTTTATTTTTCCTCTCCAGCCAAATGATTATTTGATAGTACCCTACTAGGAGAGTAACGCCCGTCAATGACAAGTTAAATCAAGTAGTGAGCACCAATGAAGGTTGGTCAGAGTGGAAGGGGCTCTGGTCACTTAAGCAAGTGGTCTCGGGTTCGAGCCCTTGTGGATGCAGAAAGCTTTCTTAGGAGTGGTCCCAGCATATGCGACCAACAGTACTTCGGAGGATTAGGCCTGGACTATGCCTAGGGATACCTTGGGAAACCAAAAAAAAAAAATTAGGTAGTGAGCTTCACTCTTATCAGGAAAAGTAAACCAATCGAGTTACAGGTGTCTAACATATTCATACCTAACGATTTTCCACAAAATGGTGACGAAAGGTATAACTTGTACAAATCTTTCCATTTTCCAATTCGATCCGATCCATTCGTTCGTAGAGCGCACTCTCTCCCGCTTGGTGGACGAAATCTTCTCTCCTTTTAGAATTATTTCTCCCACACACCTTTGCCCTCTTTCACCGCAGAGGAAAGAAAAAGAAAACTAGATTTTAACCTTCAGATTAACCCCTAGTTTAAGAACATTTTATGTCCAACGTTAACGTGGACAAATTTAGGATTTCAAAATGAACTGGTTTATCTTACAAAAAAATTCGACGGCACGAGTGAATTTAAGTGTTAACAAAAAATGATATACCTAGTCAAGGGGACATAATGAGTCGTAGCTCTCAAAATGCATCTATTACATAAAATATAAACTAGTAAAAAAATAGACAACAATAAATAAATATGTATTACAAATACCCAAAAAAAAAACAAAAAAAAAATTTGAATTGCACCCTTAGGAGTCCAATTTTCCAATTTTCCAATTTTCCTTGTACCTCCGTGTTACCTATCTACTTTCTTGACATCTGTCCCTACACTTAACTTCTAACATAACATTGTTAACCATTTTAATAAAATAAAAACAAAAACAAAAACCAATTATAAAAAAAATAAAAACAAAAACCAATAGCCACCATAGCCCCACCCAACCTGGTCAGCCAACTCACTCATCCAACTTGGCAGCCACCCCACCTCGTCGGAGGAGAGTGGTTGCCGCCGAAGAGGTTCATGCTCGCATAGACATTTGAGACATTTGAGTTTATGCCCATGAATTCTCGAACTTAGAAATCCGATTAAAGCAAAGCTCGAACTTTTATCCAAATATCCATGGCTGCCTCGAAGATATCTTCGTGCATAGCAATGGTGGTTATCGATGCGGCTTCCATGTCCGCGCTCTCTGATTGCACCTACACCGACTCTCCCTTCCGTTTTAATCCATATTTTCATCTTTTTCTCCTTTCGCTGCACTAATGGACCAGAGCCCTAATGCGAAATCGAAGCTTGAAGGTGAAGAGCTCAGAGGGTTGGGATGGTCCTGAGGCTTTAGAACAAGCTGCTTAGAGAGTCGGGGTTGCCGCCGACGAGATGGGGTGGCTAACCAGGTTGGATGGGTGGGTGGGGGTAGGGCTGTGGTGGCTTTTGGGTTTTTCTTTTTTATTTAATAATTGGTTTTAGTTTTAGTTTTAATTTTATTAAAATGGTTAACACTGTTATGTTAGAAGTGTG